GAGGGCTAAAGAGAAGGCTCAATTCCAAACGTTAAAATTGTAAGAAGGATTGGCTTATTGAAGCGCATTCGACTTCCTAAGAACACACTTAGCAAAATTGTTTGCTAAGAGGAAAACTGAGATCGAAATCAGTTATTGATGAAACAACATAGCCCGAGTCGACAGCGAAGAATTATCCTTGTGAGCCGACGTTAATTTTGAAGAAAATATCTGTTTCGATGACCCGAGGAATTTGAGGCAAAGCTGAAGTCTGAGGTTGTTTTTACTATAAGTTTATCTTTATCTCAATCTCTTTAGATTATTTATTTAATTATTATTTTTATTTAAGTCTTATCTTTTATTTTAAAAACAACTTTTAAAAACGTTTTTTATCTTTACTACTACTATTTATTATTTTATTATATTTATCTTTTATTTATTATTATTATTATTATTTTATTTTTATTTTCTCTTTTAACATTTTTTATATTTTATTATTTTTCTTTTCTGAAATTTAATATTTTATTCATTGATCTTATTTTTTCTTTTAACATTTTTATATAATAATTTTTTTAATTTAATATTTCTTCTTTGATTTATTTTTTTCTTTTTTAATTTAATTTAATTTTTATTTGATATTTCTTTTATTTTATAATCTAACATTTTTAACTTTTTAGAGGTAATTCCAATCGATCAAAGGTAAGTAATTCGAATCAGGTCTTTAAATTTTAATTTAAATTTTAATTTTTGCAATTAAGACAACCGAAAATTAAAATGGTACCGAAAGGGCACTTCAAGGGTGCTAATCCTTCCTTGACTGTAACCGACTCCCGAATCCGACATATTTATGGTAAAATGCAGATCAGGTAAGATGGTGTTCGATCAAGCTAAATATTTTTAAATGATCGGTGGCGACTCTAACGTGTTTTATTTAAGTCGAAGCCCAATTCCGGGCTCACTCGAAAGACGGCCGCGACACTTTTTTTTTTGATGAGTTTTAATCTTTTCATTATATGATCATTGTAAGATCCCGAGTGGTTAATTTTTTGTCATTGGTTATTTAAAAAATTCTAATAATGTATTTAGTTTATAAATTTTATTAATTTAAATATTTTTAATAAAATTAGCTCTCTATTTATATAAAAAAAGCTTTAATTTCAAAAGAATAAAGAAAGACAAAGTTATGCTGCCAATAGAAGCAAAAAAGAATGTGCAGAAGAAGGAAAGAATAAAAAGGAATTACAGGCAAACTTGCATATGAGTGTTGAGACAATGAATTTACAAGTCTTTGCTGAGCGGAGCTCCCTTTTTCACTTGAACCCACATGGCACGGCCGCAAGGCAACCCATTATAAACCACGAAGAGAATGTAATAACGGGGCAGAGCGATGTTGCCGTTGGGAGATTGCTTGAAGAGAGATTACGGAGGCGTCCTTTGCGGCGATATGTCTTTTTTCACTCCGTATATTCCCTGTCTAGTCATCCTTTGATCCATAGAGATACCTTGTGTCGTAAATGGCGGAAATAAATATTCACTTGAAGCTTCTTCATATCAAGGTTCTGTTCGACACCAAGGACTCGCACCTAGAATTTCTTTCCATAAGTGAGCTTTGTAGCCGACTTGTCGAATAAAATCTCGGTTCGAAAATGGTCCAACCCTGGATCGAAGTAATGTGGCAGGAATTTCTCTACGCGGGTTTCGGTGGGGAAGAGGGCGACATCTAAGTATCATCGTTCGTGTTGCTTCCGACGATGAGAATTTTCCCTTCGGGGAGAACTGTCGACGTTAAATGGTACATACGTAGAATAGTCGAAGGATTAAGCTCTTTAAACTCGGACCTGGAAACACTATACAAAACGGGGATCATATTCAGGTCCCTGGCATCATCCCACCCAGTGAGCCACTCTCGGTGCCGTCAACGAGAAGCACATCTCCCGTCGGAAGATCCAAGGCGTCACCCAAAATACGAGGCGACGACATTTGCATGATTTTCCAGTTAGCTTTCTACATTTGGCTGATATCTATGAGACCACAGTCCTTGGTCATCGGGGAAACACTTTGGGTCATCAACCAAAAAGCGTCATGCGCCGTGCCGTCGTATACCAAGACTTCGATCGGGATGACGGCACGTTTCTCATCGGGTTGAAGTGTGATCGGAAGCTTACAAGAACTTCCCGATACGGGATAGCTTCGAGCACCGTTGGGGAGGACTGGGAACTCGTAGACGATCAAGTTATTCTTCGGATCGAGGAGGACCGAAGGGTTGTTTGCGAAAAAAATAGGTTTCCGTCTGTATGGAGAAAAACAAAAGGGTACAAATTGTTCTCGATAGGATCGTGGGTTTCTCGAAGGAACTTGAAATCGATGACTTGGTTTTTGGCGTTGCGTTTGCCATCTGGTGGAACGAATTCGTATGTCGGGAAATCACGGCCGCTGAACACCATGAATCTACCGTCGGCTAACCGTACTTGTGTTGCATACCTTCAATCAAAAGTGACAAAAACAAAAAAACAATAGATTTAAGTCTTTTAAAAAGCCATCAACTTTAATTATTCGAGTATTTTTATTAATGGTAAAGTACACAAATGGTCCCTAACTATAGGACATTACTTTATTGAGTCTCTCAGCTATTAAAAATTATAAAAAATAATCCATCGACTATAAAATTTTTTTTGAGTTTCGAACTATTAAAAGTTACAAATGATTATCGACTATTTATTGTGTTCCAAATTCATCTTTTTCCGTTAAAAATTAATACGGTTTGAACTGGATGTTAACCTACTGACCAGGATATGACATAATATAATTTAATAATCTTAAACGACGATCATATCCCGTCAGTAGGTTAACGTCTACCTTAAACTACCATCAACTTTTAATAAAAATGGATGAGTTTGAAACAATATGAATACTCAAATGACCATTTTATAACTTTAATAGTCGATGGAATTAACAAAGCAACATTTTATAGTTAAGGGACTATTTTATAACTTTTAATAGTTAAAAGATTTAATAAAAAAAATGTCTTATAGTCAAGGGGTTATTTATGTACTTTACCCTTTTATTAATAATGAGTAGTTGAGTACCATCTTCCATTTCCAGTGTGCCGGGGTATTCTTTCCATTTGCATTCATCACATTTACCGAGAATTCTGACAGTGTCGGAGCCGTTATTATACCCACTAGGGCTTACCAACCGTCCCTTCACGTCAAGGGCACCAGATTAACACCAAGTATCATACTTCAACTGATAATTAAGAAAATCTGTTAATTATAAAGATTAAATCTCTAAAATTCGCAATTTAAAAAAAAAGAATGCATGGGGAGAGCTAAAAAATGTACATTGAGTGGCTTAACCTTTGCTGTTTCAAATCCATGAGAACCGAATGCGCAAAGCAATGTTCCTCAATGGGATCATTGGGTACAATTACATTTTGGCAATGCGGGTCCTGGAACTTCAATCTCGATGTCTTAAAGATGGTGGAATCGAACATCAACGAGTTGTTGGTCGTGGGGAGCAAGATCAGGTGCATGGCCGACACACCGGAATTCGGAGAAAACAGCTCCCGGTTTCCCTTGAAAGTAGTCTCAGCACTAACAATATTTTCAGCAATGCCTTTAATCAATATGTTCGGTGGTTTGTCTGGGGGAAGACAGTTAACGGAAACCAAAAGGAGGGGGACGACAATACACAGGCCTCTCCAGAACATCCTCGACGCTGTCGCCGTCGCCATGTTTTATTTATTGTATTTCTTTTATTTGGAATCACCTGCGGGTGGCTTTGTGATGGCTATAGTCTTCTTTCACTTTTTTTTATATATATTGGCTATCGATTCCCAACATGTGTTTTAACTCCTGATTTGGAGGAAAACTGGAGAAAAAATATGCGTAGTTTAAGAACAAACAAACTGCTATTAGACAACAAGGTGAGTGTCTTGTTTGCCATTCTCATTGATTAAATGGCCTTGAGTTTACTCTCTAAATTAATCCTTGTAATTCGTTAAATCAATGGCTATTTTGCGTAGTGATTCCAAGTAACCACTCTTTCTGTCAAGCTAGTTAGAGAAAGATTTAAATTTTAATAAATATATTCTTATGTAAAATATTATCTTGAACTCACAACGTGAATGTGAAAACATTAGTATATATTCAGAAGACTGTAGTTTATAAATAAGTTAATATTCATGTAATGGTAGTGGATTTTCCCCCCTATGAATATGTCTATTTTCATGCTATTTGACGTATTCTAATTAATTTATAACTATAAACCTTAAATTCTAAATAAAACATATAACAAGATTATAATATTTTTCTATCATCAATTCATGGAATAGTTTTTCTTTATAAATATAATAGTAAATTATTAAAAATCCTATTGGGAGAGTGATTTTTTTTTGAAATCATTGTTTTTATATTACACGGGGGTAATATTTTAAACATCTTGGTCATATTGATGACTGATTATACATTCTTTTGATTAACATATTTAACATAAAAAGTTGGACACTTTATGTATAGTGAAAAAAGCAGACAAAACATGCCAGGCTCACTTGCAATGGACGGACAAATAAATAATTAGTACAAATTGATTATTAATTAAGATTGGAGCCAGTCAATTTAATGTAATAATTGTAGTAGATTCAATACTGTTTTCACAAGTCGGTATGTATAATACTATTTTTATAAGCCCCAAGTTTAAGAAATAGATTAAGAATATCACGCAGTGAACCCTAATTCCTTCTTTCAATGAAATTATGTTGGTTATAAAAATCCCAAAATATTCCTCGAAAGCACAAAATAACGAGATTAAGACATATACTTCCTGAATATATTGATTATTATATTATTTGGTAAAATAAGTATTTAATAATGCATTCAACTCCATCGAGGTGTAAACGACAGAAGTTTCCATTGACCAATACTAAAATTGACCTTTTTCATTACATAAACTTCCTTTCAAATTAAAATTTCGAACAACTTCCATGATCAACTTGTATGTAATATATATATATTGAATTGCAAGACTCAAGCCTCTTAGCTTGAACTTACAATTTCTAGGACAAGCATACACTTTTCAATCAAGTTGGTAGAAGAAAATTACTGATTACAATGACAGTCTGAGCTCCAAATCCAGGTCTTGTGTGTCACTTGATTCGGAATTTTTATTGCTCTTCCCCAATGACTTGCTCCTCGAATATGAATCCTTTTATAAGAAAAAACAGACAAAAAATCAATGAAAAGAAGCAGAATCTTGACATGCCATACAACTAGGATGTTTCATGTGTATATATAACAAACCTCAGCATGTGGGTTTAAAAGTTGTCTGGTCATGTTTTGTTGTGCAAAATGTTGGCTCTCCAGGATGCCACTGCTGGAGTTCCAACTGTTGCAGAAATTGATTTGAAACATTAATTAAGAAATTATAAGCAAAGAAACAAAGCCTTTGATCTGTGAAATATATATATATATGCACCTTGCTGTAGTACTAGGTTGGGAATCACCATATCTGAAGTTTGCTCTTTGATCATACTCGCCAAGTCCCATCTGTAATAATATTTCAAGTAAATTTGGCAGATACTTAATTCGCTGCAATAATTATTACTCATAATCTTCATTTTTAAGTAAAATACATAAAAATTTAATAAAATCTGTATCTGACGCTTGTACCAGGATCCATATAACAAATTTATTCATGTATGATAATGATCATAATGTAAACTAGGGTTAGCAGTACGTAGAGGTAAAACTATGAGCAAACTCCAAAGGATCCGTTGAAAGGAGTAAGGTTTTGATAGTGAATGATCTATCAGTAGAAGGGGATTTGATCACTTACCATCATGTTTGCGTACTGGAAACCATAAGAAGCTGCTGCGGAAGTTGATGAATATGCAAAAGATGACGATGATGCCATTGATGAATAGCTTGCTTGCACTCTCATATTATCTTCCTGCACGTACAGTATCACCAAGAAAAAGATAAACATTTCTCATCAAACCCCAATCATTTTGATCATTGAAAAAAAGAAGAAAAAGAATTTAATCACCTGGTTGAAATTTGCAGGGTAAAGAGGGAGCTGCTGGTAGGCAGAAGAAGCCACTTGTCCATGTAATCTGATCTTCTCCAATTGAGCAACACCCAGCCCTCTCTGGGGTTGCTTAGGCTGCTTGTCCTTCTTGCCTTTCCTCGAAGACGACGAACCACCTCCCCTCTCCATGTTTGGTTCTCCGAAAAAACTGCTACCCATTTCTTCACTTTGAAGACGGCGGCGACGACGAAGAGATTCAAGTTAGTTGAGATCAGAAGTTTTTTTAGCTTTGCAAATCCCAAGCTTGGTGTGTTTTGCAGGCAAAGAGAGAGAGGAATCAAAGGGTGTATCCACTGCAGCCCCCTTTCAAGCTGTTTGCAACCCAAGTAATTATTGCATAGCTGGATCAGATTTTGTAGAGATTTATCAGAGATGGGATTATATATATGTATACACATAGATTTTATGCACTTTGAATCATTATATTACCTTTTTGTGGTGTAATTCTTTAATCAGTCCCTGCATTCTTTGATATTTTGACATTTTATCTCTTATTGCTTCTTTTCTGAAATAATCTTTAATGTTATTAATTGACTTTCTGTTAAATTATAAATCAGACTTTGACCTTAAAATGTTAAAATGTCACATATTTAAATTTAAAAAAAAATACATGAAAATATTATCGATTAAATTCTAATTTTTAAATTAAATTATTGAAAATAAAAGTACTAGACATCGGAGGCGCAATTAAACCTTTGTTATTTGTGTAGTTAAAAAGAGAGACCAATACAATTGTCATATGATGTGAGAGTGAACGTCACGCTCTTTAAGAAGAAGGAGAAAGGTTGCCCTTTAATTTGATAGAATTTTCATGTCCAAGTAAGGTATTTGATTAATTAATGCTAAATATAATTTGAACTGTTTAATGCATGATTTGTGGGCCATATTTTTAGTTTTCTTATTACAGAGGACATGTGAACTTTTTGTATTTTACCCCCAAACCATTGCATTGTCGAGGTACATGCTGCAGGCAAAAGCTTTCTTTTATTTAATATAACATTATGAGTTTAGTTAAGCACCAATCATTATGAAAATAGGGTTTTTATAATAATACTTTACACTTCATTACAACTTTCGAGACCTTTTGGCTCCCTCTTTAAGCCACGTATCGATTTATTATTTGATCTTATAGGACACCCCCACAGTTTTGCCATTTTAAGATTTTTATATATTTAATTAGAGTTAATTTTACTATATTCCTCCAACTCTTACCCTTGTTTTAAATTGGTCATTAAACTCTCACCATTTTAATTTATACTTAAATTAACTCTCATTCTAATTTATTCGTAGACTTTTGAATGTTTCGATTTCATCTTCAAATTATCAATTCATGCTAATCATGGCTCTTATTAATATAATTGCTATGAAAAATGCTAATTGTCATGTAACCATTGATGTATATTATATAATAATATGATATGACATAAATGATAATTAATGTTGTATTATGTCTCTTAGATTATTATGTAGAATAAAAATGAAAGGTCCTTTGATTTTTATTTTTGTTCTCTCGATTTTTTAGTGATTCTTTTTATGGTTCAAAGTAAAAACATTATTTTTTTTAATTTAATACTAAATTTTATTTATGTCACATCATATTATTGTAATATTTTAATAACGCTTGCATTAACAAGCTACACGAATACCATATATTGATAGTTTAATAATGAATTTTGAATGTTCAAAAGTTTAAGATTAATTTAGAACAAGAGTTATAGTTTGATGACATAATATCGAAATGTTCAAATGTTAATCGTCTTATAATAAAAAAAAAGCTCAAGCTGATTTTATCTCAATATATTTGTTATATTTGTAAAATTAAAATTTAAAATTTAGATTATCCGATAAAACTTATAATCCTTGAATCGATAAAAAAAAACTCGATTTGATCGTAATTATTATCATCTTAAAGATGTTTGTCGATTTGGTGTGAAATGATGAGTTATGAATAATTATTATTATAGTAAAAATGAATAAATAAAAAAAAAGACAAAGTGTAGTGGGGAGATGTGTAGAGAAGATATCTATAATAGATTTGAAGCACATGCAAAAGCCTTACACGTTGCAATTACTTCACACGATTTGCAAACACATATACATATAACGTAAAATAATAAATAAGCTTACGTTTACATCATTCAAAAAATTAAGATCAATAAAAATTATAAAATTATAGTGACATGGTTTGAAGGGTATTAGAGTATTTTAGAATATTTTGAAAATTTTAAATTTTTATATAATTTAAATATATTTTTAAATTTTTTTATTAATGATTTAACTTTATATTCTTAAAATTTTATAATTAAGAACTCTTAGATTTTGTAATATAATTTGAAATTTCTTTAGACCGTGACATTTCTTAGCATTGATTTACAACCTAGCTCAATTCTCTTTATAAAAGAATGTCTTTAATGTTAGTTTAAATATTCAAATATGGATGGCATGAATCAAGAGACTTTAGTAATTAAGAGATTTGTTATTATCTTTTGAGATATCATATTTAAGTATTGCATATGTAAAGATATAAGTGTTCATTGTGAAATAGTTGAGAGTTTTTGACAAATATAATTTAATATTCACCCTATATTTATCGAAAAAAAGTTTAAATACAAGATTACTTTTAAAAGAAGGTTATATAAGGGTATAATTTTTCGAATTATTTAAATAAGGATGTTGTTTTTTAGGAAAATAAAAGAAAAGTATAATATTTTTAAGTATGTTCAAATGAGAATTTAACGTTTTCTAATATGTTGGTCTTTGTTAAAAAGACCAAAAGATTAAGTCTTTTTTAATAAATTCAAAATGTTAAGCCTTTATTCGATCATTTTAAAGATTTAAATTCTTATATAAATAGCCTTAGGTAGTGACCAAGATCTCATACTTTAATCAATTAAACAGAAACCTTGTATTATTGAGTTTATAATATAAGCTTTGAAGATATATAGATCTCTTTAATCAGTTTAGCAGAGAGCTAAGCCAATGAGAAAATTAGTTTTTAAAAATATCGTTAAATCCATGTTTAGTTTAGGTGTTACATTTTATCGCACCACTTTTGATAATAATAATAAAAAATACTCTTGAGAATACAACTGGGAAAAAAAAGAAATTGCTTAAGAGGAAATGGGAACTTCAAGGAGATATCCTTAACCACATGATGAAAGATAATGCTTAAATATTCAACACTTGGTTACTTTCTTCAGTCTATTTTATTGATAATTATTGATCGGAGCAAATTTGATTATCGGTTATTGATGGTTAATTCTTTTTAGGGTAAAGTATAGTAATGGTCATTGAATTTTTCTAAAGCTTTCATTTAGGTCCTCAATTTTAAAACTTGCAATACAGTCCCCAACATTTGGTCCATTTGCAATATGTCCCCAACATTTAGTCTGTTTGCAATATGGTCCCCGACCGTTTGACGCCGTAACACTTCTGTTAGTACGTTTGCAATATGATCACTGAACTTTTCAGGCGCTTGTATTTAGGTCCCCCAACTTTTAAAACTTACAACACAATCCTAAATTTCATTATAAACTCCAAATTTCTTTTCGATCTCGAATTTCCTTTTTTTGCTTCTCTCTTTTCATTTCCAGCATAACTTTTCAGTCGAAGGATGCATGGGAAATTCTAATCTATGAATTATGTGGAGGTGTTGACTTGAATAAGGGTATATTGAGAGAAGACCCGACCAAGGGACTATCGGGACCATCAATGATTCAAGGTGTAATGTTAGATACAGCTCATCTCAGGTGAAGCATAGATGTTCGATGTAATGCTTGTGAGAAAAAAATGGGGTTAGAAATGCAGAGTTGACAAATACTACTAATATGAACTAAGTATCATTGTTGAAAGTCACCAACATAGTTGGAATTATTTTGCATAAATGGCATATAATAATTTCTTCGTTTAATCCTTGTGCTTAAAGATATTACAACAGATGATCAAATATAATGAAATCCCAAGCAGCGCATTCACCTCTCAGTCTCTTTCACAACTCGAAAGGTATCATGACAGGGTCAAATAGATGCTCCAAAAATACTACCCTGTCATGATGCCTTTCGAGTTGCGTACATGCATAATTGTTTTCTAAAGCTATAATTCAATACAATTCAACTATAAAATTTCCAAAACATGTAAAAAAAATTAATTCTTTCATGATATATCAGTCCCATAATCAACATGAACTTATTAAAAAGAATACGAGCTCATAGGACACCGAAAACCACAGGTCATATCAATACAATTCTCATTAAACTAGTACTAGTAGTCTCTTGGATTGAGCCTGACGATTTCACTATATCGATACCCACTACCATTCCCTGATTTAAAGAAAAATCAAACAAGAAGATCAAAAAAATTTAACCTAGGACCCTATTTCACTTCTATTATGATGGACTGAATATCTTTCATAAGGAGTACTAAAAGTTTGATTAAGAAGAAAGAAAATTAGATGGTTTTGGTTCATAACTAACACTGAATATCCAGATCATTCACATGCCGTTCCAGAAACATAAAAAGTTCAACAAAAAACACACAATGCGAGCTGACAATGGAAAAGTGCGAAAGAGGAAAAGCTTATTTCCGGATAGCCCAAAAGAAAAAATAAATACCTTCTTGCAAGTGAGGGGAGAGACTAAGAAATAAACACAATCAGTGTTGTGTTCCAGCAATTCTTCCTCCATTTTTTTCTTTGTAAATAAAAAGCTAAAAGACAGAGCACTGCCTGGGTTTACAATTTTACATGGCGGAAAATTAAAGAACAAAAATCAAACGAGAGGTAAATGCACTGTTTAAAATTTCATTATATTTGATCATCTGTTGGAAAATCTTTAAGCACAAGGATTAAACGAAGAAATTATTATATGCCATTTATACAAAATAATTTAGCTTTATTGGTGACTTTCAACAATTATACTTAGTTTATCTTAGTAGTATTTGTCAACTCTACATTTCTAACCCAATGTTTTTCTCACAAGTATTTCATCGAACATCTATGCTTCACCTGAGATGACCTGTATCTAATATTACACCTTGAATCGTTCATGGTCCCGATAGTCCCTTGGTCGAATCTTCTCTCAATAAACCCTTATTCAAGTTAACACCTCCACATAATTCAAAGTTAGATTAGAATTTCCCATGCATCCCCGAATAAAAAGTTA